TACCAAGGTTAAGCCAGGGCGAGCACGGGTGAGTCCTCACGGCTTCCTATATTCGTGGCTATTTTGACAGTCTCAAGGATGGTGTGGCGAGCTATCTGAACCTGGTCAAAAAAGATGCCTCTATAGTTGCTGGTCAAATCAACAAAGCCTTGAATGCTCTGGTTGGCGAGGACAACGGAATGACCAACTTTCAAAAAGCATACAACCAAAAAGTGAACGGTATCATCAATAAGTGGGTCACACTGCATACGCTACTTCCCTGATAGAAATTGAATCAATAATTAGGGTCAATCTCCTCAAGAAGAGCCAGCCTAAGCCAGTCGGTACTCAGCAGCCAGCGCAAGGGAAGAAAACGGCGGCATCGGCTAAACCAAAGGCACCCGCGCCAAAGAGGGTGCCGAAGAAGGGAGTCAAAGTCAGTAAGGCGGCGAAGACAAAGGCTAAGAAGCCATGAGCTGCGAGATACCGGCGTGTGTAAATGGTTTGCAGGCTTAGATAGATCAAATCAATGTTGCAACATATAATGAACATCTCTGACTATCCTTGTGATCCCCGTATACTTTCCGATCGTGTAACACGTAATGGTGTTTTGCTTCCTGGATCCTTTCGTACCGTCATGATCTCACCTTGCTGCTTTCTCATTGTGAACGCTGCATCAAAAGTGTCGTCCTTTGGCCTGTGATTAACAAACTCTGAAATCCAACTTCTGTAGAAGAGCAATTGGTAAGTACTAGTATTAACGGTGACCAATATTTTAATTTCGCTATCCATCTAGCTGTAAAGCACAAGGGAACTTGAAGATTTCAAGTTGAACGACGTTCATCGCTATCGTCACTGCGTGTTATTATAACTATCTTCATAATTTGATGTCCAGGTTTCCTCAACGTTCCCTTCGCTCAATGCCTAACCTGACACAAGAATTAGCATTACATCCCTCGAATCGTTTCATGAATGCTCCCCTGTCTGAGAAGGCTGTTCAATGTACGCGTTGCGTTAAACCCTGATCGTTGGGCTAGCAGCTGACCGAAACCGAATTCGATTCTATAGTGTTAAACCGTACACGTAGCGATAACGCCACTCGACAAGATTTTGGGACGTGATACTGCGTCGGTATCTCATTGAAAAGGCTGAGAATGAAACAATGGGGCGTGACATGGATAAAAGTTCCGACCAGCCTGGGTCCAAGCAACAATTTCCGGTGGCCCGTGCGTCGATCAATTGATGGTGACCGTGATGGATCCTGCTTTAGGAAATTATGTGGCCTTCGTGTGTTCATAGGAAAGTATTTAAACAGTCGTAATGAGATGGTGGTCTACACCCTCAACGACATATGGTGCTTGTCCCTGAAAGTGAAATGTGAGTACTGGGTACTTGGCATTGTTGGCCATGAAGTGGTAGCTGATCTCAGACCAGAATCAAAGCGGGAAGAAAGCATAGGATAGCCATTGAGTCGGACTCCGAATCCGAATCGGGGTCTTCTGATTCCTTTGTCGTATCCAGGTGAGCAACTTTCCTCTTGGTCGATGTGTTCAAAGAATAACGAGTTGTTGTCATTAGATGCAGTGTTCCGAGGCGTCGAAGTGTAGACGAAAACCGAGAATCCACTGTCAGGTAAGAAGAATCAATCGTTGCTTTCCCTTTAAGATGCTAATCGTTGTTTAGAGCTCCCAAGAGAACCGCTCCTTCTCCCGAGAAGCTGGCGAGCAAAGTTAGACGGGTCGACTCCGGAGAAGCTGAATCCGAAAGTGACCATGACAAAGATGCACGTCTTGCTGGAGATGTTCCCTTGAAATGGATCCTTCTTGAACCAAAGCACTTTCGAGCCAAAGCGACTCCCAGGAAGAATTCCGATTCCGAGTCTGAAGTTGACGAGCTACAGGACGATAGCCAGTCCGAATCCAATGAACATTCAGCTGAACATGGTCAAAGCGGCGAAACTTCAACAGAAGGAGACGGATCCGACGACTCTGACGCTGATGACACGGTCAAAAGATGCGAATGGAACATTGCACCGCCTGGAAAACCATATAAAGCGTGCGACTTCGAATACCTTAACATCCAGACCAAAAAGCGTCAGCGATATCCCCTTACACTACATATCAGCGAGGCGCATTATGATGCGAAACAAGGAACGTTTGCATGTCGATGGAAGGGGTGTACCAGCCGAGCTACGGGATTGAAGGATCATTATAGGGGAGGACATGGACAGAAGGAGTATGGATGCGAGACGTGTAAAAAGAAATATTCGAGGGATGATGCATTGAAAAGGCATCAGAAGGAGGTAAAGCACGGGAAATTTGGAAGAGGTTAGTGGGTAAGACGGGTGAACTTGCAAGGGTTTGGGACAATAGCTCTAGGACATGGTGTTTCTTGAAGCTTCCTGAGCGATGCATTTGTACAGGCTTTCCAACGTGTAGAGTCAGCTACAACTGATGAAATGGCTAACGTTATCGTCTCTCACTGTTTGATCCGCGATTATCGATAAGTAGTCCAGGGTCCGATATCTATCCACCCGAACCGTGAGAGTTCAATTCCCGTTTCGATTTTTTTGACATGGTACGATACGACTCACTTTCTTTTCAGCCCGCCATGATATTCCCAGTTCTCAACAGGAATTTTATGGAAGCGATCTTACTGATGTTTGGGCCCGACTTGGAATTGTAGCCACCTTGAAGGAGTGGAGAAATGCAGCACCGTGAGTTTGCGAGCCTCATCTTTCAGCTTTTGGATCTGACAATCTGCAAGGAAGATGTTTTGGAATTATCGACCCAACGCTCAGCCTATTCCTCCATCCATTGCCTTTTGTCTCCCCAATGTGCTGACGCCAACCTCCGAAAACCTTGCTTGGTTTTGTTCGTGGGCGAAGGAGTCTCTTGTTATCTGGTGAAGGAACGATCTGGCTGTGGTATGTAACAACTGTTCGTATAGCCTAGCCACTCCGAGCTCATCGACATCCCTTCTCGTTGTTCTTCAAGCATACAAGGGCAACCATGGCTGCAACTCGCCATTTCTGCTCCTACACACAACGCCTCCTTCCACGCCAACTTTTTACTTCCTCTAGGCACACACCTCCTGTACGCCTACGCCTAATGATTCGACAACCTCATCCTTTTGTCATCCCTGGCGTTTCATCCCATCAAGAGCACATTCATAATTCCCAAGGAATAGAAAGAGAAAGACGGGCTCGCTATCAATATCGTACCCATTCGAGACAGACGCAGAGGCGAACATGACGTTCGAGGTCGTTCCATCCGTTCTCCAATGTACCACATTTCATGCTCCTCCCTATTGTTATGCGCTACGCTAGCCTTTGGGCCACTGTAAACTACTATGGAGCTTGCATTGTCAGCAACACCCTGCGTCTTCTGTTATCTCTCTGCCTTCTTCTATCCCACTTCCTCTATACCCCACGAGGGTAGACACCTCTCAAAGCTCCTCTTCCGTCCTCTTCCGCTACGTCGTCACCTTTGTCATTGTATGCTCACGCGTACTTCTCTTCGAAAAGTCCTTTCACGACATTCAACCAGGTTACGCTCGTGTTATTGCAGGGAGGTGGCCTAAAGCCTGGTAGTGTCGGATCGGTAGTTTGTGATAACAGAAGAGCTGGAGGTAGAAAGGGAGAACGAAAACGATGGGAGCCGACGACAACGTTGGCGTTCAATAATGTCCACCACTTCCGCACGTTCACACCCACGTATTCACCCCCTCGCTCCTGTTATACGCTCCATTTCTCTCTCGAGCAAGGCTGTGGCAGCGCCTCTGGGTGGTATTCCACGTCTCCCATGAGCACACCCCTCTATATTTGTATCCTACCTGCCTAATACGACCGTTCCCGGCCTCTGGCTCCATTCTCCCGCATCCCTTCAGTCTCTACCTCGACACTGATCCTCGGGTTGGGCTGCTGGTGTGGTGGTTATCTAGGCGTCGATAAGGAGTTGTTGAATGGGGGTACCGGTGGACAATGTTAGGTTTCGGCGTTTGTGAAGGTTACAGACTGACAGAGACACGTGCGTTGATTTGCCCTTCTCCCTTTTTGGCGACGTTAGCTCATTATCACCGGATTATTTTGTTATCTCTTACAGGATGTCACTCATTCTTCTCCGTTGACTTTGCCGTTCCTCACCTGTTTCCGTCTTTACCACGCTCAGGGGAAGACAGCGGTGAGTGATCACTCTTTGCACATTTTCGTTATACTGAAGTCGTTCTTCAAGGATAATGGTATACTCGAAAGCTCAAACGCCTACCCAACTTGCCTGCCTACTTTATGTCACACTCACACGCTCGACAGAAGGTCTTGGAGCTCTGGTTCGAATGGCAGACGATGAATCACGAGGCGCACGGATACGAATCCCTGCCTCCGCTACACATCGTTACACCCACGTCCACGCCTATCCCTGTCTACATCCACTTTCAGATGCTCGCAGGATCGCAGGCGTATGGAGCTACGTTGAAGATGAAGCACACAAACTCCAATTCCTTTCCCAACCGTCTTCTACTTCGTCTGTTATTCCCTATAAAGCACGTTTTCGCAACTACACCTCCGCCCTGAATGCACCTTTCTCTTCGCGGGGTATCGCATGTCGGGGTGCGTGATCACGCCTACACGTCTCATGATCTAGGAAGGTTTTGTTTGCTCCTAGGATAGATATGGGCGTCATTGGAGGTGTAAGGGACATCCGCAACTAGTTCCTACTTATGCTCGCGGAGAAGCGGATGATGGTGCCCACAAAGCCGAAGACTTATATCTCCAAAGGTTAATAGTCAACACTTACTGCCGGTCTTCGTTGAAGGAGCTACGGGCATTGGACTTTGGGAAATGTGATCGAGAGGAAGGATGGCGTTGGAGTTGGCTCCTAAGAGATACAGGTGACGAACATTTGATTTCATTGACACGATTACGTATTGCCAAATTCCATTGTCGTTGGCGTTGCACTATTATCGGAATGAACACGAGTTCAAGATTATTCCGTACGATATTCAAACCGTCGCCGGCCGTTGTGTCCGTTATGGTATAGTGGCTAACATCATCGCCTCTCATAGATTCACCTGAGTACTCGCGATAGGCCAGCGTCCGATTCCCTGTAATGGAAATTGAGTTGAGCTATGGTTCCTTTCCGATTTTGCGTTTGGCTTTCACATTTGAGATTAACTTGAGATACTACTACCTAGATACAGCGATATAGGCAATGTACACATTATAGAGATCGAGGTTAGGAATAATTTATATGTTATATGAGACTAAATGAATGTCCTCGGAAGTGAATAAATATCCAGTTAGAAGATTAGTAAATGAATGGGTTTAAATGTTTAGTTCCGAACATCAGGAGCGGTACTGTTCCAAATTGGACAGAGTTTCGCCCAGTCAGCTGTCAGGAAATTTTCAGTACGTTGGCGCAGATCGCAGGTGATGAAAACGTACGAGGGACAGGATTAGCAAATTTAGTATCTTGGGTGTCTTCTGCGAGGACTACAGCCAGACCACTAGTGTTCTGTTTTAGCGAAGGATCAGAACTCGGGAAAGAAAAGAAGCTTACTCGACGAGGTGGAAATCAATGTGGCTGTAATGAGTGCGATGTCAGGAAGCTGTGCTCATGATTTACCAGTGAAAGAAGCTCACCAATGTAGGACCCAAGGGCCCGGGTTATCCGTGACGAATCGAATAGTTGTCTGGTTGCTTCCCGAAACGGCTACGGTATCTCGGCGGACCTAAAGCTGTGTCAGTACTTGAGAATAAACAAGCGTGAGAGACGCACAGGGTCCTTGAAGTTGTAGTCTGGGCTATCAGCGCTCTTGACAACGTCGAATGTGTGCTATACGGAGGTGATGAGTGATAAACATCAATACACGCAAGAGATGATCACTTACACCGTGCAAATGCATGGGATGAGGTCCTCCAATGGTGTTATTTCCAAACATGTTGATCTCAATAACCTTGTTCTTCGGGAGATCGATCACGCTACCCTTAGGAAGTATATCCTGGGCCTTCTGAGCACCGCTGAGAATCTGCAGTAGCACCGGTACATCTGGAACTTCGAATTTGACATCATTGATGAAGAAATCCGCAGGAGCAACAAATGCAAGCGTGAGATTCAACACTAGATCTGCACCACCAGGGAACGGTTTGCCTGGAACTTGCGATTTTCCGTACTGTGATGCCGAGAGGAAGTGCAGATCCGTCTCGCGGAGAATCATCTCGTTGGTTGCTTGGGTAGTGTTGGGCTCAACTTCTTTCGCGCCCTTGTATCGCAAAATGGCGGAATTGATGCCATTCTTGAAGCCTTGCTCAAAGGGACCGCTTTCGCTGGGAAGAGAGCGAATCCAGTAGTTCCCCACGGGTTGATTGGCATTCAAGACGAAAGAGTATCGTTGGGCCGCGAAGATTTGGAGTTTGTTGACCGTGTATGGTTTAACGTTTACACCGTCAGCTTCGATGATGGTCATGTTGTGGCCGTCGATAGAGAACGTAAAGTTGGGGTCGCAGGCCATAGATATCAGACGCATGCGGTAGCGCTTCCCTTTCTGAACATTAACGATGGCAAGTGGTGATTTAGGCTGTAGAAAGTGTGTTAGCGGTGGATGGATGGTCTGAAAAGAAAAGCATACATTTCCGTCTGGCGAACGGCCCAGTCCGTTTATCAAGGTAGCATTAGCTTTCGGTGCTCCTTGTGATGCTATAATAGCAGGGCCAGTGTCATTGTACCAGTCTGCAAGTGTTATGATGGTGTTTTCTGCAAGACATCATCAGAGTTTGCTACGGTGGTGTGAATGGCTATTATTCCTAACCGTCATCTACATCGTACAGGCCCTTTTGGGGATCCTGTGGATCATAAATCACCAGAGGACCTCTCAATCCATCGCAGTACTGAGCACCGAAATGGGAATGATACCAGTACGTTCCTGCTTGGTCAGGAACAGAGAACCGATAGTTGAAGGAATTGCCGGGAATGATAGGACATTGAGTGACGAATTCAGGACCATCTGCCCAGTTCGTGCTTTTTTGAAAGAGACCGTGCCAGTGCTACGCAACCAAGAGTGAATAGTTAACCAGGTGGAAATTACTACAACGTACGATTGTGGTGGCTCGGTCCATGGTAGAGTCAGTCAGTTCATCAATGACATTGATCTCAAACCGGTCGCCCTGAGGATGATGTGATTAAGTATGAATTTTGTGAGAATATGAATGTGAAGTACCTTGTTCGCCTTGATGAGTGGTCCTGGGAATGCTACGCTACGGCTCGTTTTCCCGGCCAGTACAGCACTATATGACATGATGATAAGAGGCTTTGCTATCGAACGAATCGAAGGCACGTACCTTCTTTCAAAACCATTAGGCGCTATCTTCTTGTTGGCGACATGTAGATCACCTTTACGCGTGATTATCTCGACTCCTTGTGTAACCGAGACGAGAGCAGAAATAAATAGCAAGATACGGTACATGGCAAGAGAAGAAAAGAGTGAACCTCGAGAGACCATCTCAAGAGAAAGTTTAATGAGGCATTAATGCTTGTAGACGTAGCTTTTATAGACGGTTCTCTCATCCCTCTTTAGTCGGATTCGGGCCTGTGGGCATGTTCCTGGTCGCCGTTCAGGAACTGTTTTGTCGAATGAGTCGTTGAACCCGACACATAGGTGTCCTTGACGCTCATAGCCACACCCGCGATGACTTGCGCGATGCCCCGTTGAAAGAAACTACCTAGCATCATGTCAGCTAAATTCTGCGCGTTGCATGGCATCTCAACGTACTAGTCGTATATTGGGCCTGCTGTCGTCGCTACAGTTCCTAAGGGCAAACCGAAACTCAATATAATCATATCCTGGTAGATGAAATGGTGTACCGCTTCCGCGGGTACGCTGACACTCGTGTCATTAAGTCTTTTGGTCGTTGATGACCTAGGACATCGGCGCGTCAATGGTGGTCATAATTCTCCGTGAGCCCAGATTCAGGAACAAATTATAGAGTATGAATCTGATAAACTCCGGTTCCCGCTCATTACTGTTGGACTATAATCCTGTGAAGGGCGGACTCGTTTCCGGAGCATACGTAGTACCCTAGAAAAGCCCAGGTAGTCTGAGTCTTTGTCTCGACTCTTGGGATTGATGCGCCGCACGGAAAGCGACATTTAGCGGGAGGTTGAGAAGGTTAGATGCGTTGGAGCAGAACCCGCATGGATACAAGTCCTCAGTATTCTCCGTGTCCCTATAGTCACATTCTGTTGACATGTGCCTTGTGAAATTCAGCAGGTAAGCCGAGGAAGACAGAAAAGGAAGAACTACAGCCTACGCCACAAATGTTTCCACACGACATAGTTTGACCAAAGGCGTGTAGTGGCTGTGCCATGGCGGCTTTGCAGGCGCCATATTGTCGAGATCCTTCAACGGGTTCTTGCGGCCGAGAGGGTTCTTCCTTCACACTTAATAATGAGGTTTTAATTGAATCGTTACTCACGCGTAGAAATGTCTAGCATGTTCAAACGTGCGGTAACCTTGAAACGGTGTCAGCCAATCCAGATGTGAATCATACCGAACAGACAAGACATTAATACCAATCCATGAAACTGTGCGCTCATCCCCGTGCATATGAGTTTGGAAGGGACGCCATACGCCACTAACATTCTCCACAGCAGCCTGTGAGCTCCAGAGAGTCGGAGGTCTAATGTAGCAGGGCTGAGACTAGCACCAGCACTCTGAGCACACCTTGGAAAGTTACTCAAGGTTGATCTCATTCAGGAAAGAAGGGCAAGTTCTATTCGGACACAGTCATGTGGGCGTGGATGGCGTACTAGGATCGAGAGCTACGCGGTTAGTGTCCGTGATGATGGCTTCTGCATTTGTGGGAATAAAACAATACCAAGCTTCCGTTCACGTCCGTTACAATCACGGCCGGCAGATCTGGCTTGATCGCCCACGGAGTTATACTGCTAGACCGGTCCAGGGCAGAGTGTTTCCATGGGGCGATCTCGAAGGGTAGCTTGCATATGGAAACGCTGGCCTAAGGAGTACCTCCCTATTGTCATTGAACTCACCCGTGCCAGAAGGAATTCGCCAACATCTCAACATGAATTTTGATGCCCATTTCAGGAGCTCTAGTCGGAAAATCGAAGAGCAGAGCGAAAACATTCGCTATAACTTCTCTATACGCTACAAAGAGATGCGTTACCTAGTCGTCGAGGCTCGAGGGCTGTACTGTCTCCTCTGCCTACTGATAAAGATAACTATTCACGGCAAGAGTTAAGCAGTGCATACCGAGAGTCCGGGTGCCAGCGATAGCAAGGTGATAGCGGTAACTAACATGTCTCGGCGTTATCCGAGCGGAGTTTTGACTTTTGGAAACGTCATTATCACGTGGATGCTTCGTCACGCTGTCTCAACTTGACTCTCAATCAACCGCTTGTTCAAATTCACTACTTTCAGCGTCCAGCGTTCGTCGCCTATTCGACACGGCGGTTGTTGATTAAAATATTGAAAGATGGAAGGGAGCTGCAGGTGGCTATAGTATGTAGCTCGGTGGCTGCGTGCCGTCGCTGAACAGTGCGTCGTGTCGCCCTTTTGTTTCAAAACTCAAACTAATATCTCACCTTTGCGATTTGTCTGTTGTAAAACTATGATTGATGAGCAAACTTGAGCAACCCTTGTCTCATAGGTACCCAGTGCCCATCTCATGTCAGCAACTCACTAGCCTTCGCGCCTTCCGCACTCGCAAGCCGTGGTCTTACTAGGACCCCAACCAACACATACTAAGCCTATCAAGAATCCTTCAAGTACACTGAGTATGCATCATACGATTGTGTGGACAACGACTAACATTTCCTAGTATCACGCAGAACATTGTACCACATCCGTTGTTTTCCAATGTCCAATACAACCCTACTCAATAAACACCTGGAATCACCCTATAACGAACATTCTTCCTCCACTCCTCCCACTTTGTACCAAACTGCTTCTTCATTAACGCATCCTCGTCCCCCATCCTCATCAACAGAACTGTAATCCCGCCCCCTACGCCCATGAGCCATGCGTAAGCCAATCCCCTCAATACATACGCAGAATCTGATCCGTCGCTGAAAATCCACGAGTGAACCATTGCGCTGCCCACAAAATTGAACCAGCTTCCCAAGTACGATGGGTGTCTTACGATCGAATATGGGCCATGGGTAACAAGCTTCGGCGACTTGACGAGTGAGGGATTGTTTGATAGCTTGCCGGCTGGAACGAGCTCAAACGTAAATCCTTCAGCAAGTGCGCGGTAGCAGAAGATGCGAAGGATACATCCCGCCGTGGAAAGGAGTGAACCGATGATAAGGACGTTGGAAAAAGAGTGGGGGGAGACGTGATAAGGGAAGTAAGGTCGGATTGGGAGAGATGGGATAGAGGAAGATATGACGTGCACAATCTCGTTGAATGAGATAAGGTAATACATCCTCTACATTGAGCTTCAATGACGGGGAATGCAAATGAGGGATTAGAGAGCAACACGTACCACTTCAATGGGCAGGGCGTATTTGATGAGGAAGACCAGTACCCATTCACGCATCTCTTGGCTAAGAGCCTTCGTGATTGGTGGTCTGGGAGGAAGAGATTTTGGTCCACCATTTGGTGGAGTAAAGCTAACCCCAAAGGAGACGGCCGACGCAAGGATAAGAGAGGTCTTTGCCAATACTTCGAGGTTCTGGGTGATCATCATGGTTATTCTACGGTGAGGTATCAGCGGGGGCTTATTTATCGAATTTCTGTCGCCGACCCAATTCGGTAAATCACTTGGCTTCGCTTCTAACGGCTTTTTGCTTTTTGACAGGTTGAATGTTCACATACACGAGGAGCATGCATTATACTGTTTTCCTTCTGCCGACGATAATTCTCCGTCACCCCTGACTTCCTGGACACGCAACTTCCGGTTTAATCTCAGCGAAAGCTACATGATTCTTTTGGCTGTGTACAACTAGACATCTCAGAAGACACCAGGTATCATTCTGTACTGTACCACTCGGCTCCATCTCGACCACTCCTTTCCAAACTGCTTTTTCATCAACTCATCTTCATCCCATACTCTCATGGTCACCAATATAGCCCCCGAGCCAACTGCAAAAATCCAGCTACCCACGCACAATCTGCCAATTAAGGTATCAAGAAACCCACTCTCCCGCATCCATGACCCGCGAACCATATGAACCATTGTGCTGCCGAAAAAGCACATCCAAAGTCCGAGATATGAAGGGTGTCGGACATAACTGTATGGCCCTGTAGTAATGAGTTTCGGGTTTTGAGCGACAGAAGGTGAGATGGCATTCTGCCCGGCGGGAACAAGTTCAAACGTAAAACACTCTCCCAGTTCGCGATAGCACAAAAAGCGTATCAAGCCACCGAAAATCGAGAAAAATGCAGCGACGACGAATAGGGAGTTAAGAGACACGTTTGCAATGTCTCTGTGTGCAACGATGTGAATGCATTCGTTTAAGGCAGCGGTGTAAAAGCCAATCTAAAAAAGACATTAAAACCAGAGCTTGTCATGACGCTTAGAATATACCTTCTGAAGAGGGAGCACGTATCTAATGCGAATGACTACGAACCACTCGCGCAGTCCGCTTGGAGTGGAGGCCATAGAGCCTTTTGGTGTCGGATGTGGGGGAGTAGAGCAAATCCCATAGAAAATCGCAGAGAGGAAAAACAACACGATCCTGAGTGCAACCTGTAGAGTTGACATTGCTGCTAAACTGGTTCCTACCTTCCGGTTAAATAACTCAGTCTGGGAGAAAAATGGAGATAATCTAGTACCGACGACAGCACGAATGCTTCTATGACAGGGTGGTAGCCACATTACATGCTTTTTATCCGACGGTCCCTCGTTCATGACGGATGTCAAAGGCTATCACCGAACTATCAATAGCGAGGTCGAACCTGCATACCGAAGTACTATATCAAATCATATCTCGTTGATTATTCACTGCACAGCTGGTGGAATCACTCCTGTGGTAGAGCGGGTTGCACATCAGCAGGAAGAGGATGTTGGTAATGTGCGCCAAAAAGGAGAAACCTAACGGTAACGGGTGCCAACACGTTTACCATCAAAGATGCTTATCATTTGCTTATCATGGCATCGGTAAACCATCTCTTCTCCTGGACCTGTACCCTTCCTTCTGATAGGTTCTTGGCGATGGGTTAATCATGTCTTGTATTCGGCATGAAAATAGCAGCTCGGGCTGGGTGAGGAGTACTCTGGCCATGACTGGACATAGGTACCTAACGTTCGGCAGTGTTCGGCACGCGCCGGATATTGATCAGCGTCGGCATGGGGGCTTCACAACGGCAAAATCTCTCATGACTATTCACTCCTCGGCTACACAATGGCACAGAGGATTCACCCAGAAAGTAAGAGCGAGAGCAAGGACTACCCACGGCCTGCCGCATACATCTGTGACGGCGACCCATCGCCAAGTTCTAACAGATTGAAGCCCACTGTTTTGCCTTGTACACATAGACTAACAATATCCAATGATATCCCATGTCCAAAAAACCTCTTGCAAGTGCCTTTTCGCTACGCTCGAGTAGTGTATGGAGGAAGTACTTCATTGTTCGGATTTGAGTTCCTCTCGGATGCCGCCTCGGTCGCCTTGCCAACGTGGGTCACCTCCAGCTGCACACCCTCACTTCCACCATGACCATCCTCTATGCCAGCTTCCCGCTTCTTTATTCGCCGCCTACACATTAAGCCCAATTTGCACAGGATGAGAAGGAACGCTATTCCAAAGCAAGTGGACAGCAGACCAATGAGCGTGTTTCTGGCCTTACGCTCAATTTTGGGTCCGTCAGTCATCTATGAACTTTCCAGCGAGAGAAAACCTTGAAAGATGGTGGGACTCACCAGAACTACGAAGGCGGGGAAGCAGAGCCGTGGATATCTGGGGACGGCTACTTATACCATCGTTACCCTTGAGAACCGCATGGTTCCCACTTCGTGGAGCGAAGCAAATTCCGGGTTCGGGTTCGTACTTCCCGCCCATCAGGATTCGATGCCAACCACATGCTACGGCGGCACCACACAAGTAATACATAGTGGTAATAATAGAACAACCACCGATCTAGCCTCCCTTGTGCATTCTTTCGACTCCTGCAGGTATGTAGCGGAATGGATTACATAGTAGCACTTGTTGAGACACCGAAAAGAAGGTCGAGAGCAGAAGCGTGACAAAAACTGGACGTTCAGGGGATTGAACCCTGGACCTTATACATACTCGATGTCATCAACATCTGCAAAGCATACGCGCTACCACTGCGCTAAACGCCCATGTTAAGCGCAGATACTGGGGTTTTTTATACGGGACAAACTCGCAGAAGGAACAGCCTTACCCAAAAGAACTGCGTATCTTCCCCTAATCTACTTTGTGGAAGGCAGTCCATACTAAATTCCAATGCCCAAGATAATCTAAGCTATCGACGGAGTCCGGCGAGCTAGATTTTGCTAAACCAATTGTGGTTTTTTTTGACGTATAACAACGGAAATCCCGATGCAAATGTGAGCTGAAGAGGATCCATAAGAGTCGATGCATATTACTAGACGTCCCTAGCCCAAGCTCACCGACCACCGATAATATAAGGGTGCAGAAGTACTGTAGAGTTAGAAGTTGGAAGGAACTGTGTTGGATAAAGGAAACCAGGAATGCTGACCATCCAAAGCGCTTAGTAACCATCGTGTCACTCATTCCACGACATCCATCAACGATGCCGTTCCGCACTAGCCTGCTCACACCTGAGTTCGGGTGTTGAAACCATTAGATTCCTTTACCTGGCGTCTGTAGGCGCGTCCTGCTTGTCGATCTCGACGTTAAATCCTCACAGTTCAAATGAATCACTCATCCATTCCCCCGTACGGTATCAACGATCTAGTCATCTCCCTTGCATCTCCTTTCGAAGCTGCGTAGTGTCGCCGTCTCATGAGGCAAAACAAAGGATATTTTTTTCCAGATGACCTGAATGGGGGTCAAATTGGGTTCAAGCCAGACGTGGCCTCTCGTAGGATTCTAAATCTTTTGCTAGCCTAGCCCATCTTCCACCATGCCACTTGCATACTCGCTTGTACTCCTCACTATCTTCCCCCCACAGACTCCCAATCCAAACAACACTCCCTGCAGCCCAGAAATCCGCGAAGCTAACCTGCTCTCCCATCACATATCGGGCGTCCTTCAGCCAACTATCAACCACACCATATCCATCCTCGGCCTTTTTCCACGACTTTACACACTCTTCTCCTTTAGGCTCTATGTCGTCGAAAGGTACACCGTAGTTCTGTTCCGTTTCTTTTCGATGATGTTCCGCGCTGGCCGGATTCATGAGATTGACGATTCTGGAGTGTGCAAGCGGAATCAATGGGAGTATCGCTTTCTCCAAAAAAGCATCCAAGAACGCTTGTTGAAGAGCCTCAGTGCCTGGTGGTATGACCGTCTTATCTGGCATAGGATATGTCTTATCGAGATATTGCGCGATAGAGAAAGATTCGGAGACTGATGCGCCAGTGTTGGGATCGTGGATGACGGGTACAGTGTACTTTGGGCTACCATCGCGCTTCTTGCGAGTCGGAGGTGCGCCAATCGATTTACAGAGAGCTTCGATGTCCGGGAGCTCGACGTGGATAATTTCGTATGGAATTCCCTTGTAATTGAGCGTGTACCTGGGCTTGACAGTGAGTGCTCTGCAAATTGTGGAGCGAAAGGGAACTCACAATGTCTTCAACAGGTTTGGTGACCATATCCTGTCTAGTTTCGAGGGGAAATCGTAAAAGCGTATTGGCTTGGACATTATGGAGCTGATTCTCAGATGTGAATGTATTGGAGTTCTTTTAACGTGAAGTCGCTTGTATGTTCCGGTTCCCTCGGTATTTCTAAGCTGCTGACTGAAGCGTTGCACTCAGTCAGCGACGACGACTAGCCTCGTTGCAGGCCTTTTTCGATCCGTATCAGGGACCAAGGAGCTCCGCTCGGTAATAATCTATTAAAAAAGTATCCATCCGAGCTTTCCTCAATACAATCGACAGGTGTCGATCGGCTGCCAAGGATTCACTCAGTCCCAAATGCTAATGATTGTTTGGAGGATCAAGGTTGGCCATGTACATACCTAACGGCCGGTCAGGTCTACCTTAGAGGTACGTCGCCGAAACCCACTCAAAGTTGGAGTCTGAATGTTTGTACTCATACAGCGTTTTCGGAAACCAGCGAGGTTGCTGCGGTGGTGTACAGTGAGGAAATTCTTCGTGTAGTGATAGTAGAGCAGATTACATTTAGCTGCACTGGTACATCACGCCTCTTAGGAAAGTCTCTCGTACTGCTCAAAGTCCTTGACCAGCCTTGCCCATCTTCCGTCGTGCCAACTGGTCGCCTTCTTCCATTCCTCGCTATCCTCTCCCCACAGGATCCTTATCCAGAGGATGCTTCCCGCGAGCACAAAGTCGACGAAGCTGACCTTGTCGCCCATTACGTACCTATCTTCCTTCTTCAACCAACCATCGATCGCTCCATAGCCTGCTTCCACTTGCTTCCACGCCTCGGCCCTCTTATCATCCTTCGGTTCCAACTCGGTCAATGGTTTCCCAAACAGAACTGCCCTGGTACTCCTGAAATATTCCTCGCTAGGTGGATTCAAGACGTCCGCTGTCCTAGGAAGTGCGAGCGGAGCCAACGAAGGGAATACTTTGCCCCTGTATGCCTCGATGAATGCCTTTTGTAGCGCTCGGGTACCGGCAGGGATCAAGGTCTTTTCTGGATTGGGGTACGTGTTCTCGAGATATTCGACGATCGCGAAGGATTCAGAAATCGATGCACCGGTGTTGGGGTCATGGATGACGGGGAGAGTGTAATGTGGTCGACCGTCGGCCTTCTTGTCGGTTGGGGGCGCTCCAATAGATTTGCAGGTGCTCTCGATGTCTGGGTACTCGGTCCAGACGATCTCATATGGAAGCCCCTTAAATGTAAGCGTGTACCTAATAAATCGTGAGTCGAGTTCGCCAAGGTCAAGAAATCTGGTATGCTGACATGGTTTTCAGTGTGTTTGGGGACCATGCCTTGTTGAGCTTGCTCGGAATGTCGTAGAATTTAATTGGCTTCGACATGGTGGAAGGGAAGTACAAAGATATCGGTAGGATCGTGGTTGTCTGTAACGTTCTTAGAACACTTCCGGCTTACTCAGGATTTTTTGTCGCTGACTCAGATGATGGCCCTGATGTCATTAATGGTTCTAGAAGTTTCACATGATATAGCGATAGCGTACTGCTAATAATACTACATTCTCGTTCTGCACCAGAAATACCTGCCTCAGGCCACTTTGCTCAATCCACAATGAGAAATCATGGACATTATGACATACCAGCAACAAAAGAATTGACCGCGACGAGTTTCCGAAAAAAACAAGGGAATTGACGGGCCGTGGAAAGCCGACTCTTAGCCGAGGCATCGCCAGTACGGCAGAGCGTGACCGTCGCGACTTGGTTCGCTACCATGATGATGTCGCATCCCAGCAAAAAGCCTGGTCAGTATGAGCGGTCTTGAATTTTCCCAAGGGCACCGCTCGGTTACAGTACATCGGCGTCATTCTGAGCTATTGTTTTCGGATCCCACTCTCTTCGACACTTCGACAATTATGCCATCTACTTGGAGCGAATTCAAGGGTATTCATGTGAAGACTTGTCTTCATTGTTCGGGAGCATGACTGCTTGATGTTTTGTACGTAACTTTTGCTTCAACTTCCGAGTCCACGGATATGTCGCTGACGTAGAGTTTTCTATGAGTGTCAGAGTTATTGCTTTCCGGGTTGTTTCAGTACACCGACGAGACTTTACCGGTGCATCGCCATCCATCATATCACAGCATATCACCCCTCGCTTGTACTTCGCAGAACGCAGAACGGGTTTCGGAGACTTCGACATTGATGGCATTGATACCGGCAAATGTCGTTGGCTGATGGCTAACTTTTCGCAAACTCGCATATCTGGACTTAGTGAATCCCCAAGAAGGCGATAGCTCCCAACGAGAAACTCTCAGAAAAGGATTGATCAGTTCAGCACATTATCGGCAGCGTGCACAGTCCGCTCTACCCCCTACCGTCTTCATCGCATCATGCTTTGAATTACCGTAGATCGCTATCATAGAGGGTCGGAGTCTTTTACGGTCTCTCAATCTCTCAAGTCCAATCTTAGCCAATCTTTCATTCTGGTTGTCGCTGACGTGATAAAAATACCCAAAGGTGTGTTCTCTTCGGTCTTTTCCTTGGTCCCTGATGGCAATTTCCTGACAATGAATGATCGCCGGAGCGAGGATGCTTGTTCGGCACCTAGGCCATCATGGAATTCTACTCGCTATCGCGTATGGAAATGACCTCCTTCTCAGCTCGGCACCTTGATAACGAGTGTTCTCATATACGAGAAGCCCTTTTCTCTTCGCACGTCGACGCATAGCTTAGTTATTGATACTAGGTTTAATCTCGTTATCTATTGCCAGCTAACAAGCCTGCTGTCATCTACCCTTAATGCGGCGAGCGCCAGACTACAACATTCCTGATGTCAACTGGTCAATTGCAAAACTGATGGATCGCTTGGCGCTTTATCGAGATCTTCCGACATACAAACTCTCCGCTTTATTGGTCTGGGGGAAGCTTCTTAGACCTCATGACCCCGACCTCCAAACAATTATGGCAATCGAAGGCGGTTCTAACAACTGGAATCACAACCCCAGCCGTCTTGACAGGCTCAAGCATTCTGGACGTCTTCTCTTCGGTACCCAAGTATATCGAAACCGGGTAGACGGTTTATAAAGCTGCGCTCAAAGAACCCGAAGCGAATCATCCTTTCTCCCAATCTTCTCGCCGCCCAGTCTGCACAATGCCTGAACCTATCATCAACGGTACTCACGAGAGAACTGAGACTGGCGCAACTCTTATCGACGGCAGCCCTATCGAGGTCGAATCCCCCACTTCGTCGCCAACCACTTCGTACTTCAAGAAGAATGGCACGGTGCACCCACCTGCACGGGAAGATACTCTGATGTTGCACCTTCCTTCGGCAAAGGACGCAAATGTCATTCCTCCGGAACATGGTGGCCGTACACTGGTTCTCTGCTTCGATGGGACAGGCGATCAGTGAGTTTTATAGTTCTATATCCTTTTCTCCATTCTTACTCATTGTTATATTTAGATTCGATTCGGATGTAAGTCGTTATTCATATCTCGGGCGGTTTCTTATGCTGAACTTTCCCTAGAACTCCAATATCGTCGAATTCTTCCAGCTCCTGAAGAAAGACGATC